AAGGTCACAAGACCCCCAGCTACAAGACTTTTTTAAGGATTTATTGACTAATAAAACACTGCTAACAAGAATATTCGTGGTTTTGACTTAATCTTTAAACATTTCATCTTATGGACCCATGTTACAGTGTAAGCTTTCTTAGCCAATGACACACAGTACTGCATTCTGAACTTCTTGTTTACCCTTGTAAATACTTTTATTTTTATATCTTTAAAACTCTAAACTTTCTTCTTTTTAACTTAACGTGCCTCTGCTTTAAACTATAAATCCACATTCTCGCTTCTAGCACCTAAGTTTGGAAGTCTTTTTCAAGGTCTCAAATCAAATCCTGTGTTTAATTCTAAGCTTGGCCTTACAGGCCCAAAGTTCTGAGAGCTCCTTGCATTTTGGATTCCAACAAGCCACAACTCTCTCCTTGTTTCCAGTTATTTACCTCCATGGGAGGAATTTTGCTTGGATGTTCTTGAAAATGAAGCCAGTCACTCTCCCTCCTCCTCCTCCTCTTCAGCAAAGGGGCTGCTCTGTGCCCCGTGGGGCTGATCCTGGAGGTGCCACCTGAAAGTGGGAATTAAGCACAAATCCCAGGGAGGATGACAGGGAGGTGTTGCAGCCAGCCATGCACAGCAGCAGCAGAAGGCTCTGGGATTTCAGGGCTTCAGCTCTGCCACACAAAGCGGCTTAGGGACAGCACAGCTGAGCCAGGGGATGGATTAGAGCAAAACCCTCTCTGGCTCCGGGAAATCTCTGCACAGGGGCTCAAGGTGCTCGCTGGGCAGCTCAGAGAGTGCCCTGGTGCTCCTCTGGTGTGGGAATCCAGGGCTTCCCTCTGGCTGCCCTGGCAGGTCTGGGACCCTGGCAGGGGTCAGGAACCCCCCTGGACAGAGCCCCCAGAGACACTGTCTGTGATCTCTGTCCATGGAAAAGAGTTTTAAATCTTACAGGATTAATTACAAGCTTTGAGTGTTTGATAAGAGTAATAATTAAGTGTGACACAGGTGCAAAAGTAAAATTTTAAATTTCTAGATTAGGGGTTCAGAGGGGACAAGATGGAGGAAATTGGGTGTGTCTTGTCCTTTTCCTCCTTCTTCATGCCCTCCATGTTTCACTGCAGTGTTAGCATTTTTCTATTAGTTTAGGCTAGGGACACACTGTTTAATATAGGTGACAGATATTAGCACATTATTGTAAATATAGTACACGTAGTTTCTGGTATATAATGTTTGTACCATCCCACTGAGGGCAGAGCCCCACACGCTGCCCTGCAGGACAGAGCTGCGGCAGGGCAGCAGAACATGTTAGAGATAAACAGAATAAACAACCTTAAAAACAGCGCAGACAAATTATGGCTTCTTCTTTAACAACAAAGCAAAAAGACAAAGACTTTCTACAATCTCAAAATCACCAATACCCACAAATTCCAACACTCTGGGAGCAGCTGGGCTCCTGGCTCCAGCACAGCCTCCTAATGGCCTGTCCCAGCCTCCTCGTGGCCTGTCCCCATCCCCTTGGAGCTGGTCACTCTGGGGTTTGCAGCCAAGCAAATGCTGCCCTTGTTTTTGGTAGCCACAGAGCCCTTGGTGCCAGGCTGGGGCTGGTGACCAGACACGGTTTGGGTGGCACAGGGCCGGGTTCCTCTTCCTTGCACTGACTCAAGGAGGAAACTCCTGTGGCAGTGTCACACCCCAGGCCGGTGCCACTGCAGCAGCAGAGACCTCTGCTCTTGGTCTGGGGCTGTACCAGCACAACGCTGCCCCTCCAGCAAGAGGAAATTGGGTCACAGGGGTGCTTTCAGCTGGGCAGCACCTCCCACCTGCAGCTGCCTTTTAAAAATAATTAAAAAAAAAAACCAAAAAAACAAACACAAGACATCACAAAAACCCCAAGTCTCCAAAACTAAGTCAATCTCTAAATTTATTTTCATATGCTTGCACAAAACCACGGCCCAGGTCTCTGGAGACAGAAGAGAATTGTCTGGTTGCTTTCCTGGGATTTTTCCCTGGATGGATGTGACTTTTGATGGCAGATCCATCCATTGCAGCCTTGTTCCCATATTCCCTGATCCCACTGTAAGAGAAGTGGCTGCACAGGTACCATGGGCCAGCCCTGCCATGGGATGTTCCCTGGGTGGAAGTTAGCACAGCTGGGAGCTGGAAGGCTTTGAGAACCCATGTCCCTGGCTTTCCTTGTCATGAGGAAGACAAGAACATCGTGGTCTGGGAGCTGGGAGGCTCCAGCCCCACTTCAGGCAGTGGCTGGGCTGGTGGCACAGATGAGAGCAGACACAGCCATCCCCCTTGTCTGGGAACAAAGAGAATGGCTGGAATGGATGGATCTGCCAGTTAATCAAAAATCAGGGAAAATCCCAGGAAATCAACCAGACAAGTCTCTTCTGTTGCCACCCTTCTGGACACAGTGGGCTCTTTGAAACATCACCCTGCCACACTCTTTGTGTGGGAATTCCACATCTCCCTGCTGCCAGCATTCCCACTGCCCAGAGGAACACATCCAACAGATTTTCCTCTCCACCTTAAAAAAAAACCCAAGCAGTTTTTACCTAAATTTTCTTAACCTGGAGAGATGCTGCAGAACAGAGGCAATTTGGTAGATATGATATTTTCAGGAGGAATTTCTCCATGGAAAGGGTGCTCAGGCCTTGGCAGGGCTGCCCAGGGAGCTTTGGAGTGCCCATCCCTGGAGGTGTCCAGGGAGGGGCTGGAGGTGGCACTCAGTGCTCTGGGCTGGGGACAAGGTGGGCACTGGGCACAGCTGGGACTCCATGGGCTGGCATGGATTTTCCCACCCCATTGATTCTGGGATACGAGGAAGAAGCAATTTGAGACTCACTGGGATTCAAAAGAGGTCCAAATTGAAAATCAGATGACTCAAAAACCATCTCTGAATCTGTGATTTGGGTACTTTGAGGCATCAGGGTGACCAAAGCTGAGAGATTGCTGAAAGGACAAGCCAGAGACATCTTCACTGGTCTGTCACTGCTGGTGTCAGAGGCTGCTGCTGAGACAAAGCCCCTGAAAGAGCATCACAGCCCTTCAGAGAACAACCATTGAGGCAAAGATGCCTCACATCCAGTTTTTCTGCCTACTCTTAAAATTAACAGGTCTTAAATTCTTTGTGTCACTTAAAATACTCCACTAGAAATGGCCAAAGGCAGCAGGATGTCAGGTTTGGGTGAAATGCAGGGGTAAAATAAGAAAAACAGAGGCTAAAGTTTTAAATTCCTATGTTTTGTTATTTCAGTGCTGTGATAGAGAGGTATTAGACTTTTGACACGTGACTGAAGAGGAAGGGAAAGTTAAAATCCAATTTAGAATAAATAAATTATTTCTTGGTTAATTTCTGAGTAATTTCTGAACCCATCCAGTGTTAACCCCTGCCATGGCCAGGGACCCCTTCCACTGTCACACTGCTCCAAGCCCTGTCCAGCCTGGCCCTGGGCACTGCCAGGGATCCAGGGGCAGCCACAGCTGCTCTGGGCACCCTGTGCCAGGGCCTGCCCACCCTCCCAGGGAACAATTCCTTCCCAATATCCCATCCAGCCCTGTGCTCTGGCAGTGGGAAGACATTCCCTGTGACCTGTCCCTCAGACAAGGAGTAAATAAGGAGTTTCCAAGGAATAAACTCTGCAGCTTTATGGATTTTTGTGCTGCTTCAAGTCAGGCTCTTCTCCTTGATATCGTTTTCATGGGCTGTAAAAGTATCAGGAGACCTGGCAAGAATGCTGGAGCTCTGTGCTTCTGCCTAGAGCCAGGGAGAGTCTTACTCCAATCAAAGTAACCACTCTCAGCACAGATCCTGGAAAATTCAAATTAATTCCATCCCAGTAATTATTCCAGTGCACGGATACATCTTCCTTTATTTGGTTTTTGCAAGATGACGTTGATGGTAAACTCAAATTCGATCCATCACAGCAAAATTCATAACAAATCTAGAGGAAGTTTAGCAGCCTGGCTTTGAAATTGCTGTAGATGAGGCTTCACAGCCTCTGCAAGGCTCATGGCAGACTCTATGCAGCCATCGAAGTTGGAACGAGTGAATCCATCACCTGCACAGATCAGGAGAGGCTGGGTGTGAAGAATCATCTGTCCTGGACAATTGGCCACAGCTCTTGTAACCTGAAAATGAGAAACACAGAGGGAGTGGGAAGAGAAATATTTCATTTACCTGGATTTCACACCAGAGAGATCTGAGTTCCTGAGAACAATATCACAGAACCACAGGGTGGTTTGGGTTGGGATGGACCTTAAAAATCATCTCTTCCCACCCTCTGCCACGGGCAGGGACCTTCCACTGTCCCAGGCTGCTCCAAGCCCTGTCTAGCCTGGCCTCCCACTCCAAAAGGTAGATCCAAACATTCACCATCAAAGTACACAGTAAAATACTTCTGGGAGATGAATAATTAGAATAAAACTTGATTGTGTGTGGAAATTTAGAAACTTTACAGCCTGTTCTGTTTTATTGTCAGTCCATCTCAGCAGAAATGACTTGTCTGACGCTGGTGTACAGATCTAAAAAGGTGTGAGGGTGATCTCACATCAGCAAAGAGGGGCTTGCAAATGGCTTCAACACAGGAAAGGGAACCTCCTGTCTCCGGATCACAAAATCACAGAATCACTGGGGCTGGAAAATCCCTGCCAGCCCATGGAGTCCCAGCTGTGCCCAGTGCCCAGAGCACTGAGTGCCACCTCCAGCCCTTCCTGGGACACCTCCAGGGATGGACACTCCTAAGCTCCCTGGGCAGCCCCTGCCAAGGCCTGAGCACCCTTTCCATGGAGAAACTCCTCCCAGTGCCCAACCTGCTAAAGCATGATACTTTTACCATTTTCTTTTGATCATTCCATGCATTTCCACCCAGTAAACCATTGCTGTAACCCCTGTGGGACTGTCATTCCTTCCAAGGAGCCTTGCTAAATCCAAGGGATTTTTCCACTGAATCAAATGTACCCTCAGCTGGCCACTGCCAAGCCATTCTGGGCCATGCCGTGTGGGGATGAGCTGCAAAATCCACATTTATGTTGCTGGCTGCATTCTCTGCTACTGGGTGTTAGCATCTCTCCAAAGGAGGAAACTTGCTGAAATAACCAGCTGTAACCCCTTACCCTTTATTCAGCTTAACAGAGGAGTCTATCCAGGTATGGCAAATCCAGAGACAGATTCTCCCTCAGACCAGTTTCAAGTCAGTACTTAATTTATTACTGAATTTTTCTCACAGATCCAGCTGAGTACAAACAATGCCAAAAGATTTAGCTGGAAAAGTCTTTTTTGAGTGTCCTTTCTTCTTGGCTACCCAGTGTTTATTTGATGCTGGTTGTACCAAACAGCTCCTACCCCTCCTGGTATCTGGTCAAAGGTTGATGATCTTGGAGGTGTTTTCCAGCCCCAGTAATTCCATATAAAGTGACTCTGCCAAAGACACAGGGTGGGTTGGGAAGCTGTTGGCTCTGAATGCTAATGGTGCCTTCAGCATAATTAGAGCAAGGGGATCCAGAACTGCAGCTGTGCTGCTAAGTAGTGTCAGTAGAATTTTGGAAGTCCTAATCCCTCATCTGCCATGGATAATTGTAATGTCTGCATTTTAATCCCAGGATTGTGTTTGGCCATGTGAAGGATGTTACAGCCGGATTTAATTAACAAGTAGGATAAATCCCAACTAAAAGAGTCAGGGGAAACAGGCACCCATCTTATCAGTTCCCCTGGCCTCTGTGGCAACAGCTTATTATAATTGAAAGTAAAGAGAGCTTTAGGAGAAAGAGGGAGCTCTGCCCCAGATATTTCATTTAGGCAGTGATTATTTTACAGGGTGGCATTAGCGATCTCTTTATGGAGATAACGGGTCTGACCTACACGGATTTATCTGCAACCTAAGACATACTGACATTCATCCACCAAATTACAGGCTGGTGATTATTCCTCCTGTGGCACCAGCAGCTGCTGGACTCAGAGCCCTGGCTGGCAGCAGCAACAGAAGCAGGAGCTGGATGGGGTTTGGGAATCCCTTCCAGAGCTGGATCCAACTCTTCTCCCCCCTGCTCTCATGAGCACCAGCAGCTCTCAGCAGGTAAGGCAGGAGAAAGACCAGATGCCACAACCAGGGAACCTTAACAGTGACACCTGTTTCCCCAAAAAACCTCCCTGAACTGATAAAGAGGAACTTAGAGAACACACCATGATTTTGATGGGTTTTTTATAAGTATTAATACCCTTGCTAACGTTGTTTTTGCAATCCACCAATACTTTACTCGCAGAAAAATAAACTTTATGCTAACAAGACCAGGTTCCCAAATTGGATGCAGATCAAGGGGTATGAGCAGACTCCACAACAGCCATCCACAGCAACTTCAAAAAAGGAAACATTTTTAGGGGACTGCTTTAAAAGTAAATATTTTGCATCAACCTCCACGTTCAAATTCACCAATGTAAATTAACTTGAGAGTCTTTAGGTAAACATGGATATACTCTCCAATACTTAAGGAAATCACCAACCATTTCCTTGGATTTTTAAAAGAAGACTGCAAAATATACACATTTTGCTATTATTACCCTTAGGTAGTTTACTTTAAAATACTTTTTGCATAACATTCTGTTAAATTGAGCAGGGCCAAATCAAATAATAACAATTAGTACAACTGTATTTCTGCTCTTTGTGGCAGGGTGGGAATTTTGCTAATAATACTTTTGGATGCAGAGGGACACACTGAGTCATGATTTTTTAAATACCAGTGAAAATCCCACCGAATTACGTGGGATTTACTTCCTTCCTGTACACTACTCGTAGCCCTGCTTCCCAGAAGAGCTGCATAACTCACTGATGAGCCAGGCCATGTTAAAAAATGGCTAAAAATGACGTGGCTTTTGCTGGCCAGCCCTGGATGCTGCTCATGGCTACCTGGAGGAGTGTGTTATGGATATTGAGCAACCATCCCCTTTCCTCTTGCTCCCTGAGGATGGAAAATGCAGCCCAGCAGGACCTCCCAGCTGACTGGTCCCACCAGGGAGTACCTGGGAGTATCTCCACCTCTGGCACTTGATGCTGCTTGGTTTGGGCAGGGAGGGCACAATCCTCTGCAGGTGGCTGAGGATGATCTGCTGCACCTCTGCAGGCTCTGAGTCCAGGTGCTCGCTGCCAAAGGTCACAGTCGTGTGCACCACGACTGAGGGCCCAACTTCAGGAGACTCTGGAAGAAAGAAAGGAAGAGGAGAGGTGCTTTTGAAGGATTGCTCATTCATACCTGCCTTCCCCACATGCTGACAATTGTGCCTCTGACCTAGGAGTCAGTAAGAACAAAAAGATCTGTGGTACCACTCTGTTCTTCCCGATGGGAAAAAAGCACAGGGAATTACAAGGAGGATAATCTCTGCATCAGCCTGGCCTTGGACACTTCCAGGGATCCAGGGGCAGCCACAGCTTCTCTGGGCAACCTGCAGCAAGGCCTCACTGTAAGAAAAAATGGGATTTTTATCTCATCTAAACCGACCCTCCCTCAGCTTAAAACCATCACCCTTTGTCCTATCAGAAAAATTTGTTCTGATCTATGAAATCATAGCTCAAGTGCTGACGTTGATCCCAACAGACCTGGAAAGGACCGGGCTTTGTTACATTTGGGGCTGGTTGCAGGTTCTCAGCAGCAGCTGACTCCTGTCCCCACTGGCATGTTGGCCTAAAAACCAGCAGCCAGAGAATGTGGCTGGATTAGGGGATTTTTGTGTGCCCCCATGAGCAGGATGGAGCAAGGGCACAACGTGGGTTATGCTGCATTTCAGCTGAGCTGTTTGTTCAATTCAGTGATTCCCTCTCACTCCCCTACCCAGCAACTCCCTCCTTGGGAAGCCTCTCCTGGTTAGTCCTTTGTTTGGACTAGCACATTCTTAGAAGAAGATTTTAGTTTCAGCAAATGAGTGTTTTCTGACAGAGGAATCCACAAAGAAAGAGGTGGTTGAACACTTGCTGACCATTCTGGCTGTTAGGCACCAAGCTTGATAAACTCCTTATCTGCCACTGAAGAAATCTCCAGCTCCTCAAGCCAGGGATCCCCTCTGGGAAGATGACACACTCCAGCTTTCCAAAACAATTGTTGGCGTGCTTAGGGGTCATCCAAGGGTTACAACCTGCTCTCCAGTAGAAAATTGTCCATGGATGTGATAGGCACACATCTCCCACAGGAGTGTTCTCCTCATTTTAGGGGAACAGTATCAAATATTTTTCTCATGTTGCGGCCCAAAACCTGGTGCCATGACAGATCCCAATAAAAACCAAGATGTGGTTGTTTCCTGACCCTCAGGGATTTGTAAGCTTCCTGGGGAGATGTGTTTTGCCATCTAAACCCCATTCTGGTCCTGGGTAGCAGGAGGGGAAGGGGAAGGGCTTTTGCCACAGCAAACAAACCCTGGAAGAAGGAAATGGCTGCTGGGTCAGCGTGGAGGGCAGCAGAGAAGCTGGACACCTCCAGACAGGCTGGAACTGCATCCCTGCTCCCTGGGAGGCATCACACGGTGCCAAAAGAGAGCTCAATGTGCAGGCCTCAGGAACCCTACCTAAAAGTTTAAAAAAGAGCAGTGATCAACTTTACTACACCTAGAAAGCAAGAGAGGTGGTGGTCACATTCAAAACGCCACGCTGCTGTTTAGCCAGAGAGCTTCCCCAGTTATCCTCAGAAATTCCCGTGGTTCCTAAGGTCCCACAGTCTCCCTGGAATAAAATCTACTGTCTGACGAGGCACATTTGGGAGGAGTCATTGAAAGAATGGCACTAACTTTTTCATATTCAGAAACCCAGCATTTCATTAGCCTTACCAACAGTTTCTGATTATTTTTCTAAAAGGCAGGCAGGGCTGGCAGAGGATTACAACACAACTGGCAGCGTAACAAGGCAAAAACTTAAATAGTTCTTTAACTCTTTCATCTTCCTAAAAATTCTTACTTCAGGAAGGAAAGGAATCTCTATTTCGAAATCGAAGAGGACGCTCAGGAATTATACAACACTAAAAACCTGTAAGGCAGATCTTCCCTTTAAATTACATAACCCCACAGTCCTGGAGCAAAAGAAAGGAACCACTTCCCCTTTGATGTGTCATCTATCTTTAGTCCTCCTGGAATGCAGAGAGATGCAAGGACTGCGGTATTCCAGAAATAATTTATGCTGGAGAATTCCCACTGTCCCCCCCGACCCGGTATAAATATGGATGGGGTGTTTGAGGCAGCCAATCCCACAAAGTGTTTAATATTCATGTGCGCCACACGGGGAATTCAGCACACGCTTCTGGTGGGCTCCTCCTTACGTAACATCACCTCTGCAGGCAGGCACGGGGTTCTGCCCACAGCAGCTGGGATCCTCAGCTGCTGGAAAAAGCTTTCCCTCCTGTTGGCTCCTGATTACACCAGGAATTGGTGGCATCAGGGAAATTGCCTCATCAAACCCACCCCGCTGCGTGATTACAGCAACGAGGCCGGTTTGGGTTTCACTGGTGCGACGTGAAACGCCCACGAGTTGGATGTCTCTGCTTTACTGAGTCAAGGCAGGCACTGCCACATCTCAGACAAGTGACAAGGACAGTCTGGGCTTCCAACAGCCTCTGCTGTTGGCCTTTGAGGGCTGGACTAACTCCTTGAGGGAGATGTTCTAGGAGTCCTTCAGCAGAAAGCTCACAGGATCATAGAATCATAAAATGGGTTGAAGATCATCCAGTTCCAAACCTCTTGCAGGGGACAACTATCAGCCATCGTTATTTTCTCTGGATCTCTACTGCTCAAGGCTGTTTTTGAAAAAGCTTCTATTTGAGGTGGCAGTGAGGGTGAGATAAGCCTCCATTTATTGTGGATACATCAGGTGAAGAAACAACTGGAGAAAGTGATGGCTTTTTGGGAATGTTGACTGCTCTGGAAGATCTCAGCTGCCTCACCCAGCAATTCTGCTTTCTCTGAATGTTTACTTTTTGGTTGTCTTTTGGTTGTCACCATCCTCTTCTTCAGATGAGGCCAAATAATCAAGGTTGAGGAATGAAAGAATGGGAAGATTGATGAGTGGAGTGGAATTAAAAGGGACAGCGAGGTGCTCCTGTGCCTCCCATTGAAATCTTCTGGAGGCCAGTCGGAAGCACAGGAAGAAAAATGCAGATGCAAAATACTTGCATATGTGCTAAAACAAGCATAAAGGAACTTCTTATTCATGTGTTTTGGTCGCAGGGCTTCACATGTAAATAAATTTCACACTCCACCTCCCTTGCCTGTGCTGTCAAAAGTCTGTCTCCTAGGAAGAGACACACACACACAAAATTTGTTCTTCTTGGAAAAACTTGCTCATATAAACAGAACTCTCCCACAATTCAGGGAAATTTCAGTGAGAAAGGTATGTGTCAACACTGATATTCTGGTACTTTCTACGTATTCCACTAACAATATGCCCCAAATAATGTGCTTTGTACTTGGTTCAATTGCATCTGGAGACAGCAAAGCTGTTTGATAATCCCATCATAGCTCCATATTTGCTGTTCTTGGTGCTGGGGCTTTGAGATCACATGTGCAGAGAGGTGGGGAAAGTATGGGTGAATTCTTCCTCAACACTGGTAAGGATAATATCAGTAGGTCCTCTTAACTACCAGGTATTTTTTGTTGAACACAACAATGGCAACAGAATCTCAGATGCAAGAAAATCTCCAGCTGAACGCTGTCAGTAACAAGGAGACAATGCCAGAGAAAAAAAAAAAAAAGATCATTCTGTATTTGGCTCTCTTTAGGCTCTTTTTCCATATTCACCATAAGTCCCTGCTGGAGAAAGCACATTAGGGTGGATACATCCTTATTTTGCCAGTCCAGACATTCTTCTGGTTTGTTTTCACTCTTTTCAGATCATTAGGCTAAATTCTTAGGGCAAACAACAAATTTGCACTTGCACAGAGGGATGGAGAATCTCCCCTACAAGAAAAGGCTGAGTGAGCTGCGAGTGTTCTGCTTGGAGAAGGGAAAGCTCTGGAGAGAGCTCAGAGCCCCTTCCAGTGCCTAAAAGGGGCTCCAGGAGAGCTGGAGAGGAACTTGGGACAAGGGATGGAGAGACAGGACAAGGAGGAATGGCATCCCAGTGCCAGAGGGCAGGGCTGGATGGGATTTTGGGAATCAGGAATTGTTCCCTGGCAGGGTGGGCAGGCCCTGGCACAGGGTGCCCAGAGCAGCTGTGGCTGCCCCTGGATCCCTGGCAGTGCCCAAGGCCAGGTTGGACAGGTGGAAGACGTCCCTGCCCATGGAAGGGGGTAGAACTTTGGGTCTTTAAGGTCCCTCACAAACCAAACCATCCTGGATTCTGTGACTCTGACTAGTCTGCAAGTGTTTTTTCTTGAGCTGTTCTATGCCACTACACTCCTGGTAGGTGAAGCACATTTAATACATAAAACACACACTTCCTCAACTGCCACCCTCCAGAAAGAGAAGGGGAAGGGTCTGTCTTGGGGGGATATTCTCCAAGCCCTGCTGAGCATTTCAGGGACTCCCCCTGGTCACCAAAGCAGCCTGGCTAACTCTGAACTGGGCTGAGCAGCTCCAATTATCCAACCCATTCTTACATCCAAGCCTTGTGGAAAGAGCAGGAGTTGTAGAGTAACGGGTGATGGGAGACAAACTGGCGAGTGCATGAATCAGTGTTTAAACAAAGGAACCCCAGCTCTTTCTTGGAATAGCAACATTTTGATGTCTCCAATCCCCTGACACTGGTTTCATAAACGCAGTAACATAAACCATGTGCTGGGGGCTGATTTTCTGAGGGCCGGCCCGCTCTCATTGTGTGCTTTATTACAGGCCAAATGTGACATTAAACGCCGTCCGCTGCGGCTTGGAGTTAAACACTCGCTCTGTTCAGAATAGCAACACTCAATTAAACAGCATTTCTCATGGTCTACACCCTCCATTGTGGCTGTGTTTAAGGGAAATAATGGGAGCACTGACCTATATTGCGCTTCTTGTTATCGATGGAGATGAAGCGAATGCAGGGATTATCAGTGATGTACTGAGCAGCCCAGGGGACAGCAATCCCTGTCCCAGCCTCATAAAACAGTCCCAGGGCGTAGCGGGATGAGTAGCTCACAGATTCCAGTTGCTGCTTTTGACTTTCATTAATTACTGTGAAAAGGAGGAGGAAAAAAAAAAAAAAAAAAAGGAAAAGAAAATCAGACAATCCCTCTCCGCTCAGAACATTAAATATGGGAATGCTGCGGTTAAGCTGATTATTCCTCCCTGAAAATGACCAGACTGCTAAAACGAACAATTTAATATTAAGCCTAGTGCTTTGTAGTATTTTTTTTTCTGGGACACCTCTTCATGAAGTTTTAATGGTGCATTATGTCCTTCATACAAACCCTCCCCCATCTGCTGGGGGTTCATCTCCCAGCTCTCCCTCAGTAGGCTCTGACTTGAAACTTTGATGATTTTGGTGACTTTTTGTTTCAAACCTTGTCTCAAAGGGTGAATAAATAGCAATAAAATGCTTGGGCTGCCTCAAGGACATCAAGTAAATGGTCGTATGGCTCGACAAGCACCAAAATGACTTCACATATCAACAAAATGAACTCAGAGCCTCTTGAACCTCTGGGGAAAAGAGCCCTGTGACTTCTGTGCTGCAATTCAAATGAATGAAGAAAACCACACTTCAGCATACAAAAGGTTCCTAGTGAGGTTCAGCTCCTTCAGCTGAAGGAATTTTAAAGCAGTTTAGAAAATTTCAGAGCAAGTATGAATTCTAATTCCTCCCTATGATTAACTCTTCTATCTTCTAATTACAGCAAGATCTGCTTTTTGCTGCAATTTCGTAATCTTCATTAAAAGCTGCACAAAATAGCATTAGCACCACGGTGAGCATTCAAATACTATTTAATTTCATGCCACAGAGAAATCCAGCTTGGCTAATTGTGGAGTTCAGTTCCATGTCTCTCTTCCTGTGACTGAACAGGGGTCCAAGGCTCCTGTGAGCTGGAGCAGCACACGCAGAGACAACAGTTCAGCTGATGTTGTATGAAGAAAGGAACAGCTCACCCCACAGTGGTTCAGGCTGACCAAACTCATGGCACAGGATTGTGTCCTGCCAGCCCTCCCAACTGACAGGCCTCTGGTGGTTCTTCCCCACCAGCCTGACCTGATGCCCAGCACACCAGAGGATGACAAGTCAGATTCCACCTCAAATCCCACCAGAAACCAACCCTGAAATGACCACCCAAAAAAAAAAAAATCTGAAAAAACCTGGGGATTTTTTTCCTATTTTCCCCACAAATACATTGGGGAACAGAGAAGTGGGGAGAGCAGAAGGAAAAACTGACCAAGCCACAAAACCTGGGGAGAAGAAAGGAGGAGAAGCAGGCATCTGGCAGGAGGTGGTGGTGGAGTGCCAGATGGAGGAAGCAGGACTGAGCGTGAAGATCTTTGAAGAAGCTCCCTTTCCCTCCCCAGTTCTCCCTCCAAGAAGGAGCTGAGGGGTCCAGCTGCCTCTCACCCCTGCACCCAGATCTTTCCAAGAAGGATCTGCTCCAAGGTCACTCTGCTTTCTTCCTCCCCTAGGACCAGGGCTCCTGGGTGCCATGCCAAAGGCACAGAGCAGCCTGGCACGCCCCAGGCAGGGCACTGGCTTCCATTCCAATTTTCTGTGCTGTTCAGAGGCTGACCCAGGCTCTGGCAGGACTGCCCCACGAGTCTCCTGCAGGCTGTCACCCCCATCCTCTCCCACAGCCTCCCTGCAGCCATTGCAGCCCTGAGGACAGGGGGATGGATTTGGGGTGTGCTTGGAGGGGGAGGCAGGGATTAGGCAGGGCTCTGGGGCAGGCTGGAGGGCTGCCCTGGAGGAAAGGATGCCAGCAGGAGAGGACCTCGCACATCCCTCCCTGCTGGAAATGTTCCTTGGCCTCAGTTCCCATGAGCTTAAGGTGGTGCCAGCATCGGGAGCCATCCCGGGGCTCTTTTCCAAGCAGGGACAGCAGCAGGAGTGATTTCCCTGGGGCTTGTCCCAGCCCAGCCAGGGACAGAGCTGCTGCTAAACATATTAAACACAGCCCAGGGGACAGATCTCCCACAGAACCCACCCCCTGTCCCCTGTCAGGAAGGAGCTGTGCCCAGCTGGGCTCCCAGATGTCCATCACCACCAGCCCCCTCCTTACAGCCATCACAAATAATCACACTGCATTGCACATGCTTGCTGGGCTTCAAAAGAATATAAAAGTCCTATAAACAAGCAAATATAAAGTTGTAATATCCCATCTACAACACTACCCTTTGTCCACGTTACTCTGGCTAATCCTTTGCCCTTGGGGAAGGGAAAATAAACAAGACCTCCTCCAGCTTGTGAAGAAAATTCCCCACGATGGAGCTGAGCTTCCCTGCTCCTCAGGGTGGGAATTTGCTCCAGGTTTATTACAGGGAGCTCCTGAGCGAGTACAACCTCCATAACACTCAGTGCTGCCAAAGCTGGGGTGGCCAGCTGGCTCTGAAGCACCGTGTTTGAGACCCCCCCAATGCCATTGTGTGTGGGAATCCAGGACTTCCCTCTGGCTGCCCTGGCAGGTCTGGGACCCTGGCAGGGGTCAGAAACCCCCCTGGACAGAGCCCCCAGAGACACTGTCTGTGATCTCTGTCCATGGAAAAGAGTTTTCAATCTTACAGGATGAATTACAAGCTCTGAGTGTTTGATAAGAGTAATAATTAAGTGTGGCACGGGTGCAAAAGTAAAATTTTAGGTTTCTAGATTAGGGGTCCAAAGGGGACAAGATGGAGGAAATTGGGTGTGTCTTGTCCTTTTTCTCCTTCTTCATGCCCTCCATGTTTCACTGTGGTGTTGGCATTTTTCTGTTGGTTTAGGCTGGGGACACACTGTCCAACGTAGGTGACAGATATTGGCACGTTATTGTAAATCCAGCACAGGTAGTTTCTGGTATTTAATGTTTGTAACATCCCACTGAGGGCAGAGCCCCACACGCTGCCCTGCAGGACAGAGCTGCGGCAGGGCAGCAGAACATGTTAGAGATAAACAGAATAAACAACCTTGAAACCAGCACAGAGGAATTATGGCTTCTGCTTTGGCAGTGGGGCAGAAAGACAGAGACTTTCTACAATCTCGGGATCATCAATACCTCAGATTCCGACAACTGTGGAGCTGCCTCCACCAGCTAGAAAGCTTCAGGAGGTGTCAGGGGCCATCAGCATGGATGCTGGACAGCACAGAGGTGATTGAGGATAAGCTGAGGTTTTCTCAGGTGTAAACAGAGCCCTACACGTGGAGCTCAGCCAGGGGACGATGGGGAATGCAGGGAGGGAGGAATGAGCCAGCTGAGCGGGCCAGGAGAGGGGAGAAGAGGGAAGGCAGGCAGCTCCAGGGCTGGGACTTCCCAGATCAAAGGGCTGTAAAAGCCTGGGCAGCTCATCCCAGTGGCCAGGGAAGGAACAGCCTCGGGAAGTAGTGATTTTTCCAAGCCTTGAGGAGATGGGATAACAGCCAGGCTGAGGACAGCGCCTGCAGGTGTTCTGGGGACAGTGCCAGGCTGCTCACCTGGTGACATGTGAACCCCAGAGACCCTGAGGAGCTCACACAGGATCCCTGAGGCTGGAAAATCCCTGCCAGCCCACGGAGCCCCAGCTGTGCCCAGTGCCCACCTTGTCCCCAGCCCAGAGCACTGAGTGCCACCTCCAGCCCTTCCTGGGACACCTCCAGGGATGGGCACCCCAAAGCTCCCTGGGCAGCCCCTGCCAAGGCCTGAGCACTCTTTCTGTGGAAAAAAGGTTCCTCCAGACTCAGCCCTGCCCTGTCCCAGGCTAAAGCAGAGCTGGGAGGGAACCTGCAGGCTGGAAGCAGGAGGGCCCTGGAGCCCCGGCCAGGCTCAGGGCAGCTGTCCCAGCTCACTGGGGCCATGTCAGGGCATCCCTGGGGATGGGGATCCCCCAGCACCCCATCCCAGGGCTGCTCCCCTGGGGCTGGCTGGAGTTTTCTGTGTTCCAGCTGCGCCTCTGGTCTCTTTCTGACCACACCATAAGCCACAACTGACTAAAACCCATCATCCCCAACAGTCAGCTTTCCACCCCAAAATCTGAATGTGTGTTGATTCAATTACTGATGTGTGTTTGCTAACTAATTTCCTTCACTACTGCTTAGGTTCTTAAAAAAAAAAAAAAAAAAAGGCTGTGGTTCACTGGATTCTGAGCAGCTGCACATTTACCAAATCGAGGAAGTTTTTATAGCTTCAGAAGACAGGCAAGAAAGTGACGTCAAATTTGAAATCCAGCAGCAAAAAAGTTGAGCTGTATGCAAAAACAAAGCTAAGAGTTGTAGGATTGAGGTTTTTCCCCTGCTCCATCCATTATGCATTTCAGCAAGGCCAACAAGTTGATCTAAGGACATGGAGAGAACCTTCATTTTGAATTTCCATACTTTTATTGGTTTAAATGAAAACCAGACTGTTGTTTTAACGCCGGGTATGAAACCACAAAATAACTATTAATTTTTCTCCTTCCAACAAAAACGGTTAAGATGATTTTAATAACATTTTGGAAAAAAAAACCCAAAAAAACAACCCTAGCTTTCAGAACATAGAATTGCCCAGCATAGAGCCATAGTGATATTTTTAAAGCAATGCATGAAGACATGAAAATCTTGTATTTTCCACTGCAAGACTCAGCTACAGCTGCACTGTGAGCGCCACTGAAGTGAGTGTCCTCTGGAGATTTCATCACATCAAAGCAAGGGGCATGTATGCTTTATTTGCTGTTTCTGCAGACACTGACAGCAGAGTGGATTACTTATCTGTAACACTCAATAAATACAGCCAGGGCCTTTTATCTGCTGTTCCAGGGCTTTAATGTCACCTCGCTGCCTCACTGGTGTTGTGGGAAGGAGAGGACCCAGAGGTCCCATTAGGGCCAGCAGGGCAGAGGAGAGCCAAGGCTGGAGCTGGCAGCTGGGAGCACGGGCACCATGCCATCCAGGCATCCAGCCTCCACCACAGAGCCAGGGAGGCAAAAATAAACCCAGCTGCTCTGGCAGCCAGGAACCCACTGGGCTGATCAAGGTTTCATCCTGGACTTTTTACTCTTCTGCCAGAAAGTGCAGGAGGAGGTTGCAACATCACGGAATCGCAGAGTGGTTTGGG